GGGGGACGCTGGCCCTGCCCTGGGCCTCCCCCACTGTGCTGCTCCTTGCTATCCTGGTGCTCGGGGGGGCACTGGCGCTGTCTGGTATGAGGCTCCTCCCTCTGCCACAGGTGGGGAAACTGAGGCCTAGCGAGGCTAAGGGCTGTGCCCTTGGTCCCCCAGCAAGTCAGTGGCAGAGCTGGGCCCAGAGTCCTGCCTCCCAGCACCCGTGCTCCGACCACTGAGCCCTGCTCCCTCCATGACTGAGAAGCCAGCCCCCAGGGCCCAGCGAGCGCCCGTGGTGCCAGGCCACGGAAGGTCTGTGGGGCCCCGTCCCTCTGGTGCAGGGTTCGGTCCCCGGGGAGCCAGGGCGCTGCGTTGCCTTGCTCCGCCCCCCGCCCTGGGTGAGTCAGTCCCCGACTGCCTCTGCACTTGTTAGTTTGCCCTCGTTTGTGTCCTGCCTGAGAGCTGCCATCGGCACACCCGCCCCCGCGGCCGCTCCCGCTGCCCACGGCCCCTGAGCCGCCCCGAGCAGGAAGCCAGCCAGGGCCAATCGGGGACAGCTTCCCCGAACTGAGCCACAGGGCCGGGACCCTTGCTCCTTCGTTAGCCCCCGCGGGGAGGGGCCCGGCTGCCCCAGGCCCCCCTGCGCCCTGGGTCAGTGGCTTATCGGTGGGTAAACAGAGGCACCGAGCGATAAGAGGGACTGAAATGGAGCTGGGATCGCGTCGCTCCCGGAGGCCCCACACAGGTAGGGGTCGAGAGACCCCATCACTGGGGTCTGAGCAGGGATCTGGCCCTGCCCATCCCAGGAGGCCCGCCGTGGGGGGCTGGAGCAAGGATGGGGTGTTTGGAGAGGCTCCAGGAATGCTGAGCTCCTAGGGCGAGTAAAAGGGGTGAGCTGGGGGGAACAGTGCGGAGGAGCTCAGCACGGGGGGGCAGAGGGCTAAAGGAAGGGGGGAGAGACCCCATCACTGGGGTCTGAGCAGGGATCTGGCCCTGCCCATCCCAGGAGGCCCGCCGTGGGGGGCTGGAGCAAGGATGGGGTGTTTGGAGAGGCTCCAGGAATGCTGAGCTCCTAGGGCGAGTAAAAGGGGTGAGCTGGGGGGAACAGTGCGGAGGAGCTCAGCACGGGGGGGCAGAGGGCTAAAGGAAGGGGGGTCGGCTAGATGGCAGAGTGGGCCCGGAGATGGAGAACCCTCCGAGTGGTGGGCAGAGAGCAGCCCAAGGGGCGTGACTCATTACAGTGCATTGGGTGGTACCCGCCCATGGGTGTGTGTGGGGGGACACGCTTGTGACTAGACCCCCCGATACAGACTCTGAATCCTCCCACCCCCCCAAATCTGAGCCTCTCTTCCCCCCTCTGCTCTGCTCCCCCGCCCAAGGCAGGGGATCTCGAGTGCCTGAGTCCCCCGCCTCCTGGGCTCTCCGCAGGGCCGTGCCGTTCGTCACGGCAGCGGGGATGAATCAGGCAGGGCTGTGTATCTTTAGGGACCGGCAGTGACTCCTGCCCGAGGGCTGGCCGTGTCATTGCAGGGCGGGATTCGTCAGCGGAGCCGGAGTGGAGGGTGTAG